GATTAAAGAGGGATTGAATGATTTTAGGACTCTGAATTTCCAGGGTGCACCAAAAGGTGTGACTGTTATTCCCTGTGATGAATTAAAACCTGATGAGGATGGGATCTAGACCCCAAAAAGGAAAAACCTGGGATTTTCCCACATGGCCAAATTTCTGGCATTCGCCTGAGGCTATAATTCCATCAACTAGCCTTTCATTGTGGCTATACCCAAACATCCAATTCTCTGCCCTCTCTGCCCATCCTAGCCTAGCCCTCCCTTGTCTTACCTCCCTATGGCCCCAGGCCACTTCCCACCCTTAATCCCATCTAGGCTCCATATCCCTTGGCTACATGGCCCAGGTCCCTGGAGTTCTATTAGCTCATAGCCTACTTGACCACTCCTAGATTCCTCCCATGGTCTTTATGTATATAAGGTCCATCTTGTCTCCTTTAAAATGCTTAGTTTCTTAAAACCTAGCCCCTGCTCAGATTTTTACAGTCTAGCCAACACCTCACCAATGCTCAGATTCTTTGAATCTGGCTGGTATGGCAGATCCTTAACAAACCTTGTCTTTGTTCGAAAGAAAGCTTGGGTTGAATACTTTCAGGCAGGACCTGTGTGTCATGATCTCGAGGGCCCAGTACCCCTAAACCTCTAGACCATATCAAAACTGTCACCTGAAATTTTACATGAATTTTGTAACTTTGTTTTGATGTGGAATTATATCTTTCATTTGAGAATTTTATATTATAAATTTAAATTATAAATTATGTATAGAAAATGGCATGGGGGGAGAGACATTTTTAAAGGCAGAATTGATTTCTATCCCTTTGTCTTTTTCATTCTCCAAGCAGAGAAACTTTAAATTTATTTAATTAAAAATTTGTCTCTGGTAGGTTGTCTATCAGACATAGAGAAGAAAATTTTCTTCCACCCCAGATGTTCCAGTCTGGGGTCTCATGCCATAGAGGTAATTTTATTCCTCACATCCTCTGCATCAAACCCAGTCATCCACAGGAGCATGAAAAGCACTCCAGAAAAGCATGAAAAGTAGATCCTTACCCAAGGACATGTCAACATTAATGATTCTCATCTTTTGGCACTAATGTTTGTATTTTAAAGGTGCATCTCTTCAGGGAAGAAATTTCTGTTCCTGCATGTTGGTGATGATCTCAGAATCAGGAATGCAGCAGACAAGCCTAAAAGCCACTCTGGGCTCTTTTTCAGAAGTTTCCTATCCACTCAGGCTTTCCATTTACCACCAGCTTTACATTATAGCTCCAGAATTTTGTTACAGCCACTTCCAGATGTAAATTGAGCTTTTGTTAACCTCTGTCAGATGTTTACTTTACTGAAACAGCCTAATTGTGCCTTTCCCTCTCCAACATAGTGGCCTTTAAAAGGAAGGTCCAGGTTTTTCCCACCATGAGTAAAGCAAATCTAGAGAAGAAATGTTTTAAAAGAAATCTGATAAAAGGAAAACTCTCATATACTCTCAAATATTCATACTACTTTTTTGTGTGTGCGTATTAGAAAAGAATGGAAAACCAAGTAGATTCCTTTCCTTTGGGGAAAGGCTAAACAATTTTGGTAATATGAATGTAACAATATTATGATGTATATGAAGAATTCAGAGAAGCGTGGAAGACTTAAATGAACTGATTTAGAATGAAGTAATTGAGTTGCCTGGTTGACTAGTAAAAAAAACCAAACCACACATTTTGTGTACTGAGATGAAAGAAAAGCCCAAGCGACAGAGCTTCTGGGTAATTAATAATCAATTTAATTAGGCTAGCACATAATCAATAAATTAATGGTTAGTGGTTTCTCTCAGTAACCTAAGAGGAACAATTGAGATCATCCAATGCTTAAATGCTTTTAGAAAAGTGAGTACCCCTCCCCCCACAGGTTGACAGCAACCCTGATTGGTGAACTTGAGGACCCTGGGCTGGAAGCTTTAGCTCCTTGGGCTGAGAACCTGGCTTGGTGAAACTTAGCTGCCTCAGCTATCTGGACAAAAAAATCCATCTCTACCCAGAGCACTCCACCTTGGTCCCCATCTCCACTTAACTGAACAATGGAGGGGTTTCAGGGAGTCTACTGCTTTTCCCGGAGGATTCCAGGGGTGGGGAGGGCTCCAGGGGTGGGGAACCTGCCGTCTCCAGACTCCAACTTCACTGAACAAATCCCCTCAATAAAAACATTTGTTCTGTAAAACTTGGATTCAGTCAAAAGGCTGCACCTGAGGACCTAGAAGGCTGCATGTGACCACAGGTTTGCTACCCCTGGGTTAGGCTAATCTCACTGTCTGCCAGGTCCTTAGAGACTTCAAGGATTGGTCTCTGAATGATGAAATAGAAAGAGGAAAAACTCTACTAATAACTACCCTGCAAATAATTGGTTATTAATAATAGAAAAATAGTAATTTCTCTAAGTATTCAACCTCCAAACTGAGTCTTGGAGGCAGTTAATCAAACAGAGTTTGCTGTCATGTTAAAGTGAACAGAGTGCTGGCCTTGGAATCAGGAAGACCTGAATTCAAATCAGGCCTCAGATGCTTAACTAGCTGAGTGACCCTGGGCAACCTCTGCCTCAGTTTCCTCAACTGTAAAATGAAGATAATAACAGTACCTGGGGCAGCTATGTGGTATAGTAGATAGAGTGCCAGACCTGGAGTCAGGAAGACTCATCTCCCTGAGTTGAAATCTGGCCACAGACATTTGCTAGCTGTATGACCCTAGGCAAATCACTTAACCCTGTTTGCTTCAGTTTCCTCATATGTAAAATGAACTGGAGAAGGAAATGGCAAACCCCTCTCCTTGCAAAAAAGAAGTTGCCACAAAGAGTCAGACGTGACTGAAATGACAAAATAACAAAAAACAGCACTCATGTCCTAAGAATTGTTGTGAGACAACATATATGAAGTGTTTTATACAGTGCCTGGTATGTAGTAAACACTTAATAAATGTTTGTTTCCTTCCTTGTGGGTTATGGTTTTAAGGAAATGCAGAATTGGAATCTGGGGTAACTTTTCTGGGGATCCCACTTGGAATAGGTGGGGGCCCCAGGTATTTTATCTGCTTCCTCCATACTATCCCTCTGTGTCCTGTAAGCTCTTAGAGAGTGAGGATGGAGTCTTATATATCTTTATATTCCTTAGATCAAAGGTTCCCAAACTTATTTGGTTTATCGCCAGTTTAAAAAAAATTACTCAGCTCTCCCCCTGGAAATCTACTTTCTTTAACCTTTTAATGTTTTTTTTTGAAATGTGTGTCATTTCAAAAAGGTATAAAATATTTTAAAAAATGATTCATCTTAAATTTAATAATTTATTGTAAATTTGTGAGTTTTTCCCCTGCATCAAAATTTTGATGACACAATATTGTGTCATGTAACCATATAGTATCTCATTGTAAACAAATCATTACATGCACACATTCCCACCAATGCATGCTGGACTTCCTGACAAAGTACAACATGCTCACCTGCCAACACTTGCTTGTTAAGACCTGTCAGTGGACTTGACCACTGATGGGTTATAGCTTGCATTTTCTGTGTTTATTTGGAAAATAATGTAATCACTATGACTTCAACTTAGTTACACAACAGATGAAACATGTATGAATGACTTTTTCAAAATTTTCTTCTCTTCTTTCCTTATGTTTCTGATGGGGTGGGATCTGGACCCCAGAAAGGAAAAACCCTGGACTTTCCCAGGTGAATGCTGAATATCTGGCTTTCACCTGGGGCTATAATCCCATCAGCTGGCCTTTCATTGTGGCCATACCCAATCTCCCTTCCATTGTCTTACTTCCCCATGGCCCCCTGCCATTGCCCACCCTTAATCCTAGCTAGGCTCCATTCTCCCCTGGCCACTTGGTCCAGGTCCCAGGAGTTCTGTTCACCCCAGCTTACTGGCCACTCCCATTCAGATCTTCCTTAGACCCCTCCTCCAGTCACCTCAAACTACTTGGCTACTCCTAGATCCCTCCCACAGTCTTTCGGTATCTAAGGTCCACCTTGTCTCCATTAAGGTTCTTAGATTCTTATAATCTAGCCAATAGCTTATTAATGTTCAGACTCCTTAAGAGTCTAGCCCAATATGACGGATGTTCTAATAAACCTTGTCTTTGGCTGAAAGAAGGCTTGGGTTGAAGTCTTTCAGACAGGACCCGTGTGTTCTGATTTTGGAGTCTCAGCACCCCTAAACCCCTAAATCTCACCACTTCCATGGACCCCTTATTTTTATTCAAGGCTCCCCAATTGTACCAAAGCTCTTCCAGGGGCCCCCAAGGAGGTGGTATTGCCCAGTATGCTTAGATATATAGGATTTTAGAGATAGAACTTTATACCACATGTACTTTCAATAAAAATTAGTTGCTTGATTTGATGGTAGATAACAGGGAACCATCTTGCTTTGGATAGCCCTTCATATTTTTAAATATTTGTTCATAATATCATAGGATTGAAAACTATTCTATTCCATTCAATGCATGTTTATTGAGTGTCTACTGTATGCCAAGTACCGTGCTAAGCTAGAAGCTATGTTGTGAGTTCATCTAGTCTTAATCTCGGGTCTATGGATTTGCCATGGGTCTCTGGATGGATTTCAGGAGGTCCATGAATGTGGAAGAGGAAAAAAAATTGCATTTTATTCACCATAATTAACTTCCTTTGCAATCCCATGCACTTAATTTTATTTATTTAAAGGCATTATTCTGAGGAATTTGTTAAGCTCTAGGGTTAGGCTGCTGATGCCTAGGGCTAGATTGCTAAAAGTCACTCACAAAAACCTATTAAAGAACCTCTGTCTAGGACTACACCCTTTAACTTGCTCCAGGGGACAGTTAGCTGAACTAGGTCTAGGAACTCTGGTCTTCAAACTCCCAACTCATTATTATGCGGCTTTCTAGATGAGACAGGGACCATGCTCCTCCACAGTCCTGTCCCAGTGCCTCACTGGGATCCCAGTTTGCTGGGCCAGCCAAGCAGTCTTTGGAAGGTCCTCTCACATCACAATGGCTTTCGGGTAACCTGATTCACCATACAGTCTTCTTTCCGTCCTTCTTCTTTGTTGTAAATAGAAATGTCCTTGTTGGAGCCCTGCGCTTGGAGTCAGGAAATTCAAATCGCATCTCAGGCACTGTCACTGAACTTCTCCCAGCCTCAGTTTCCTCATCTGTAAAATGAGAGGGCTGGGCTTCATGGCCTGCAGAGGTCCCCTCCAGCTCTACGTCTATAATACTGTGGGAAGTTTATGTTTCTATGTATATGTATGCACACACATACACATATGTATACATCTGCATTAGCTACATGCAGCCTATAGGTATATGTTTGCTAAACTGCCCAGTCTCCGGGTCTCTCCTTAAACCCCCGATTCCCAATCCTCCTTCAGAGATGATTTCCTAGAGGTCTTCGCAGAGCCCTCAGCTGTTGCAGCTTAAGTTCACACAAAGGAGCATCGTGCCTGTCCACAGACGTTTGCAAGTATGAGTGCCTTTCTTTGTGTCCCCAGTGCTTAGCACCGTGCCTGGTACACAGCAGGCGCGTAATCAGTGCTTGCTGCCTTGACTTGATGTGACCTCCTTCCTTGGTCTGTCTCCCGTTATGCCTGACTCTGCTTGGCCCGTCTGCCCTTGGCCCGGCACGTGTTCCAGACCCAGGCCTAGGAGAAAGGCGGGAAGCTACCCAGCCTGAGCCGCATCCAAGCGCAGTCCAGGGCTCCCGGGCGCAGGCGCACGTCCGCCCCGCCTCGCCCCGCCCCGCCCCCGGCGCCCGCCACGCGAGTCGGCCCTGGGAGACTCGGGCGCCGCGCGCGCCGCTGCGGACACGTCACGTGAGCACTCCCGGAGGCCCCGCCCGCGCCCCGCCCGCGCCCCGCCCCTCCCGTCCTCGCCCCGCCCCCACCCCGGCGGGACGCTAGGAGGCGGCCCCAGGACGGTCAGCCTGGCTGGAAGTCAGGCGGGCGGCCGGGCGGTCGGCGGGTCGGGGGTGAGTTGTCCCGCGGGGGTGCGCGGGCCAGGGAGGGGCGGGGGGCGGAGGGGCGCGGGGGACGGGGGGCGCAGGGCGGGGCAGGCGGCCGGTGACAGCCTCCTGCGGCTGAGGGGACAAGATGGCGGCGGGGTGCTCCCCTCCCCCCGGGCTCGCCTCGGGCCCGCCCCCGCCGCCGGCCCGGGCTTCGCTTCCAAGACCCCCGGGCCGGGCCGACGCCGAAGGGCGGGGTGACAGGTGGGGGAGGGGGGCGAATAGGGGAGGCATGGAGGGAGGGGGTCACTCCGCGACCCCCCAGCCCCGCCGGAGGGGAGGCCCCCTCCCCGAGCGGGGGAGGGGGCGGGCTGCTGTCAGTGCCACGTGTGTGTCCCTGCGCCTCCGGGAGGTCCGAGCCGGCCCGGGCGGGGGCGACCTGTCAGAGCCGGCGGGGTGCACCCTCCTTGCGTGCCGGACCCCTCCTCGAGGCCGGGTCTTTGCATGTCCCCAGCCCCCTTGAAGGGCCGGGCCTTGGCCTTTGGCCCTGACCCCCGACCGGGCCCGCGGTTACTAGAAAGAAAGCCCCTCTAGCGTGTGTGTAGCTCTGGGAGGTTTGCCATTCCCATTTTACAGATGAGGAAACTGAGGCAGGTGGCGGTGAAGTGACTTGCCGAGGACCACACAGCTCTAGGAAGTGTCTGAGGCTCGATTTGAACTCGAGACTTCCAGACTCCAGGCCTGGACTCTTTACTAAAGATATAATTTTACATGTCCTTGTTGGAATGTAAGGATTGTTTCATTCTTTGTGTTTGTATCCCCGGTGCCTGGCTTGGTGCTTTGCACATCATAGGTGCTTGATAAGTGCCTGTGGAACAGATGAGCTTCTGTCTTTAACGGTGGTAAAATGGGTCTGCCACCCACCCATTCCTCACAAAGGTTACCCTAAACCTGAAGGTGAGACGTGAACAGAATTAGGGGAAAACCGAAGCCCAGAGAAGGAATGTGATTGCCCAAGGTTTCAGAGCAGCTCACTGTCAGGTTTGAGGTTAGAGCCATGATCCAGGCTTCTACTCTAGAGCACCATCTGTTGGTTCACCTGAACCGCTGCCTCCTTTGCCAGATGGGCCCCTTCTCCAGGGTGCTTGGCCCACTCCAGGTTCCTCCCTCACCCTGGCTGCCCTGGTGCTTCCTGGAAGCTTTTACAAGTCCCTGCTAGAGGATGAGGCCGTGGCTCGGGATCAGGTGCTGGAGGCGGGGCCCAGCCTGGACTGCTGGACCCAAGTGACCAGAGCCAGAGAGAACCTGTGCTGTCTGTCCCAGAAGCCTGAAGTGAGGCACTCCACAAGAGCAGAGTCCAGCTTCCTGTCAGGGCTGGGTGCAGCTCGTGCCTTCCTTCTCCTCCTAGGGCTTCTGCATAAATGATTCCTTAGTGTTAAGAGTGTTAACTCTAACCTTGTTGTAAGGAATTTGAGCTTTCTTCCTAGACAGTTACTAGTAATTTGGTGTATGCTTTGTGTATTTTAACTGACTTTAAGGAATATTCATGGACTTGTTTTTAACTAATTGAGGTCATCATTCTTAACCTCTTTTTGCATTACTTAACCTCATTTTTCTCAGCTGTAAAATAGGGTCCATAATAATACCTACCTCCCAGGGTTGTTATGTGAGTCAAGTAAGGTAATATTTACAAACTGCTTAGCACAGTACCTGGCACATAGTAGGTGCTTAATAAATGCTTGCTCCGTCCCTCCTGCCTACCCACAAATGCTGAAAAAAATCCTATAATCCTGTATGGAACAGCTTTGAAAATGACTGAAGGAACTGCTTTGTTGAAAAGATTTTCCTGTATGACATGATAAGCTGAAAAACTTCCTCCCTACTCATCCAATAGAAAACCATTTGCTTGAAGCTGTTAAAATGAGTAGAAAGGAGTAAATTTTTCAAGCTTTTGACCAATATTAGGAGAGTCCCATTTACCACACATTTTCAAGCTTCTGTACTCCTACTGTGTTCCAGGCATTGTGAGGTGTTTTTTAGGCAGTCTTTCATATCACTAGACACAGTGCCAGGCACATAGTAGGGACTTATTAAATACTGATTGTTCCATTCAAAGCCACCTACAAGGAGTCCTCTACCAAATTCCTCATCGTGCTGGGATCCTGAGTTCTCTTTGGTCTCTGACAGCTGAATGTAGAGTCTGTTAGGTCCTTCCAGGGTGGCAGACCTGGTGATGGACGGATGTCTGAGGCCTGTCATCCTAGTGTTGGCCATGGGGATCATGAAGACTGTCTGCTATCTGGATGAAGTCATGGCTCTATTGAAGTGTTCAGGGGATAGTCATAAAATAATGGAACTGAACAGCTCCCTCTCATCAGACTGATTGCCATGGTGCCTGAAGATGTAAAGTCAGCCCTCGTCTGGACTGGTGCTCTACACTCCCAGCGTTGAGCAGGGGTGCCTTTTGTGCCTCCACAGTCACCCCCAAGCCAGTCAGCAGGCATTAAGTGGAACTGTGCCAAGGGCCTGGGCTGCCAGTACAAAGATTGGCAGCACGGATCTGTCGCCCAAGAGGTTTTATGTTTTAAAGTAAATTTTTATTGATATCTTTTGTTTTTAATTACCTACAAATCCTATTGCATCCCCCCATTCTCTTCTTAGAGAACAATCTCATAACACAGGATAGGAAAGATGAAAAAAAAGCAAACACCAGATCAGCAAAACTAACCACCATATTAAAATGCATGGTGTATGCAGTGTTCCACCCCGGTAATCCCCCACTTCTTCAAAGTAGGCACAGGGAAGCTGCTGCCTTCTCTCTTCTCTTTGAGTCCGTGCTTGACTGTTACAATTTAAGTGCCTTGGAGCTTTTAACTGGAGGTGATTTTCCTTCTGTTGAAGTCTTTTAGTACTTTGCACCTCTCCTATTTTTCTCTCTTCATATTTTATTTTTGTGTACTTATCTCTCCTAAATACAAAACACAACCTTCAATAACTTGCATTTATGTAAGGTTTACTGAGTCAGTCAATAAGCATTTATTTAGTGCCTTCCACGTGCCAGGCTCTGTGCTTGGCAGTGGGGGTTCAAAGAAAGGTTAGTGACGGGCACTGCCCTCAAGGAGCTCACAGGCTGATGGGGGAGATGACATTTAAATGGCTATATGCAAACAAGCTAGAGAAGGAGAAATTGGCAGATTAACTGAGGGAAGACACTGGCATTAAATGGGGTTGGTAAAGGCTCCCTGTAGAAGGCAAGAGATACCAGGGAAGCCTGTAGGGAGAGAGCCCTGTGCCTGGAAGCTGAGGTGCTGGAAGGGGGGCACAGACCGTCCAGTGAGCTCTGGCCACTGGATCATAGAATATGTGAGGGAGGGGAAGTGTAAAAAGACTTGGAAGATAGGAAAGGCAGGTTTGGAAGGATTTTTGGACACCAGACAGGATTTTCTGTTTGATCCTGGAGGTGGTAGGGAGCCCTGGAGTTGACTGAGTGGAGGGGAGGGGAGACATGGTCAAACGTGTGTGGTAGAAGATCTCTGAGGGTTGGATGGAGGGTAGGCTGGAATGAGGACAGACTTGTGGCCTATGGTTGAGGCTCGGCCCTGGGGGTGGGGTGGGAAGGGGGAGGTGACTGTATCAGGAGGGAAGGGGGTCTTGTGTGACAGATGTTACAAAGGTAAACTAGGTCTGTCTTGGCAATGAATTGGATGGGGGGGGATGAGGAAGGAGTCAAGGAGGACCCCTAGCTGTGAGCCTGGGGGACTGGGGAGGATGCTTTTCTGACTCCTCTGTAAGGTAGGTGTTTCATTTTGCAAATTAGGAAACTGAGTCTTAGAGAATTAAAAAAAATCTCTCATGATCAGGCTGGTAATAAGTGTTGGATCTTTGGCTTGAATCCAGGTTCCCTGACATCTAGTCTGCTGTTTTCTTCTTGAGAACAAGTAGTATTTTATATGTGCCCTTGCATGTAATAAACCTTTACTCAGATGCTGGGTGAAAGAATGGATAACATGATACGCCTTTGTCCTGCTAGTAACATCGGATAGGCATGGATGACAAACTTGCTCCTAAGCTGTTGAGCTTTCTGTGCCCTTAGGTCTCCAGTAAGTATGTCTGAATTGCAGAGCAAAACGAAAGACTTGGAGAAAACCCTGGGCTTCTCACCTCTGTACAGTACTGATTATTGGGAAGATTATGAGAGTTTTGGTGTTAATTGCTTCCTTTTTTTTGGTCCTAGACTGGTAGTCAAAATTCATATAGGGAAAAGATAGGACATTCTTGCCTGTCCTGTTGTCTCTTTTATTTTTGATTGCTGGATAGGAGTTTTCTTAATTATGTGTGTAGCATGTTTCTTTTTTTTTTTCTTGAAGATTTATTTTATTTTATTTTTCCAATTGACAGGCAGTTGTTTTCTTTCCTCCCCACTTCCCTTCAATCACATTGGGAAAAAAAGGAAAACCCTTGTAACAGTTGTAAGTTGTATGGTCAAACAAAACATATTCCTGAATTGTCCATGTCCAAAAATGTCTATCTCATTTTGCATCTTGAGTCCATCCCTTCACTGTTGAGAGGTGGGCAGCCTTCTTCATCATCCATCTTCTGGGATTGTGGTCAGTCATCAAATTGATTATTTTAAGTCTTTACAGTGTTATTATTATATAAATTGTTACCCTGCTTCTGCTCACTTCAGTCTGTATCAGGTCGTACAAGTTTTCCCAAGTCTTTCTGAAAACATCATTTTTACAACGCAATGATATTCTGCCACATTCGTTTATCATAACTTTTTCACCCGTTTTCTTGTTGATGCACACTCCCTTAATTTCTAGTTCTTGGTCACTACCCCAAAAAAGAACTTTAAATGCTTTCTATATGCTTGTACCAGTGGGTCCTTCTTGCTCTTTGTGGGAGACGGGTTGAGTAGTGTGGCCTTGCTGAGTCAAAGGTATAGGTAGTGACTTTTTGGGCAGGCACATGTTTCTTTAAAACCCACTACCGACACTTTTAACGTGGATTTTTTTTTAAAGAAAATGTTATTCTGATTTGCTTTAAGAACGTTGAAATGCATAGCAGAGCACTATACTGTCAGAAAAAAAAATTCTGATTCCTGCTTCCCCATAAACTAGTAGTATGAACTGTCATTTGGTTCCTGTGGGCCTTAATTTCCTCATCTACAAAATGAGGAAATTGGACTTGGTGTTTTCTAAAGCCTGTTGGGATGTCTTAAATTCCATGAAATGTTCATTAGCTACATATGTAAAGAGTCATAATTTTTTTTCACTGACATATGAATGGAATAATTTTGTCAACAGTTTTTTAATGTATCGGAAGATAAAATTGCTTTATTTTGAATGTGTTAAAAAAAGATGACGTTAATGTCTGATACTGTCTTTTATTGCAGAGGTCAAAATCCATGGGTTCAGCCAAAAATGTAATAAGTGAGCCTGTTGAAGTAGAAGAAGATTATCTAATGATGGTAAGTTATTCTCTCTTATACGCAGTTATAACAATTTTTAAAAATTGTGTAAATTAGATTTATTTTGAAATAAGATTATTTGCCTTGTGCAGTTAAAAAGTTATTTTTAAAGTTGTTTTTAAAACTTTATCTGGGCTTGCCCTTTTTCTAAAACTTAATATATCCCCTGAACATTTTGTAAACTCCCCAAATACTTAATTTTTGGTAACAAAGTCAAGAGAAGTAAATTTATCTAGTTTACACAGTTCTTTCTATAAGTAAGCACTTCTACACGTATATTATTAATTAGTTGGTGGTTATTACTTTTGGATGGCTGTATGCATTTGTGTGACCTGAATCCTATTTTTACTTTTTTAAATTTTTTTCTGAATCCTATTTTAAAGAGACTTGAGGTAAGGTTCTTAAGTATTCTATGATGAATCCTTGTGTAAGACAAAGAAGAATTATCCTCCAACCGCTTCTTTTTGTAAGTTTGAAATCTTGTCTGTCAGGTTTTCTTAGCGGAGCATATAACAACATTGGACTGCCTGTGTCATAGGGTTGTTATGAAGGTCAGGTGAGGTCATAGGGGGAAGAGTGCTTTGAAACCTACAGAGCCCTATATGAATGTGTGTGTGTAAATATATAAAAATACGCGTAGGACGTATATCATACAAATTTGAGACTTCATTATTACTGAAGGAAAGACAAAGGAAAGGCTACAGACACATGTTCGATCTTGTCTGCTTTTGTCACCCTTTGTCTTGCTACTGTTTTCGGTGGGACTCTTGGCCTATAGCCTGCCTAAGGCTGATAGCCGACCCCCTCCAAAGTCACTTGTTCCAGAGCAGATAGTCAGCTTAGCCAAACTAGACAGACATTCAAGAGTTGAGGAGAGGGGTGGGAACAAATAGCTGTTTGCTTGTCCATAAAATATTTATTTGCTAATATTATATTTTAAAATAATAGCTAGCATTTATATAGCAGCTTAAGGTTTACAAAACACTTTATAGATATTATCTCATTTGATCCTCACAACAGCCTTGGGAGATAGGTGCTATTATTATCCCATTTTACAGAGGAGGAAGCTGAGGCGTAGAGAGTGATTTCCCCAAAATCACACCACTAGTAAGTGTCTGAGGCCAGATTTGAACTAAGGTATTCTGACTTCAAGTCTAGATCTCTGTCCTCTGTGCTACCTAGCTGCAATATGAACACACACACACACACACGCATGTGTACACTAGTACATACAAATATGTGTACATATGTGAATAATGTTTTCTGTTGCTTTGTTACAAATGCTTCCTCACTGATCCTTAAAAATTCCTTGTTCTTAGGGTTCTTTAAAGCCTCCTGTCTTGGTTGTGAGGATGCTTGTACATATTTTCTTAGAGAAAAGCGCTATGTAAATTCAAAGCTGTGAGCCCTGGCCAGGATGGAGGGTTTCTGGGCCCCGGTCACAGCTGGGGTTTCTGCCTGATGAGCGTGTTAAGTCATCACCCTCCCCAGTGACGCAGGCCCTGGGAGGCTGTGGGTGCAGTGCGACAAGATACGGCTCGCCGTCTTTGTTGTGCTCTCCTCATTCTTTGTCGTTCTCATTTACAAGGGAAGACACCTGGGGATTCCAGGGCTTTGAAAGCTACCCCCCTCTACTGTAGGCAGCTTTCAGGTTTACGATACACCTAGGCACCTTCTTAGTGGAGTAAATATGTGTGTTTACAGTAACAGACTTCAGTGATGCTGAGTACTCTGTCATATTCAGTGTCTTCTAAGGCATTCACTGGGGCCACCACCCAACATTCTCAGCAGCGAGTGCTCTGAAGTGGGTAGAATCACAGGCACGTTGCTGGGAGGGGGCCTTTGAGATCAAGTAGTGTATCTCCCTTGTGCGTGCACAGATGACAGCTTGGTCTATCCCGAGGGGAACCTGTCCTGCGCTGCTCCCCTTCTGCGAGCTTAAACTTCGAGCCAGTCTTTAGCTGGATTCCTTGTTGGCCCTTCTCTTTAGCTTTGTGAACCCCAACCTTACTGCCAGTGTCTGGGAGCTGCCAGCTTCTCTTTCAGTGTCCCCCTGTCCCCTCCGCTTGAGCCAACATAATCTTAGGGAGGGTTTATTTACACAGGAAGAAGAAAGTTATGATATACTTCCATGCATGTGTGTATAAATAGATTACATATATGTGTATATGTTTATTTACACAGAGAATATAGAGTTATGTGATATATTTATATATACACATAGATGTATATGTGTATCTGTATATGTATATATCTATATCTCTATAGATCCTCATACTGAATGTTTCCAAAAGTTACCTGATTAACACTAGCTCCCCGAGTCCTGTCTGAAGGTTCCATCTGGCCCTTTGTCTTCGTGAGATCTGCTGTGATGACCAGATCCCTTCACAAATGTGTGTTGTCTCTTTTGTCTTGGGCCTGGAATGACTTCTCTCTCTGAAAGCTTTGGCTTCACTCCACTTCAGTGCCCTGGCTTTAGTGTATTGGTAGATTTATAACCAGCATCACATCCTTTCTGACCAAGCTGGAAGGCCAGCGTGATACCTTGCTGTCCCTAAAATGCTTCTACACGCAATTGATTTCTGCCTCCTCATCCCCTACGTCACTTGGGGTCAGTCACTGAGAAAAAGCCATGTAGGCTACAGGTTACTTTATTTTAAAACTTTGTCTTATTTTTATTGACTCATTTTGTTTTTACATCACATTCATTTCCTAAATATCCTTCCCTTCTCCTCTATGTAGTTAGCTGTCATCTGTAACAAAGATTTTAAAAGGAGAAAAAAAGCGTATGGGTAAAACTCAGCACGTCTATCCTGTCTAACAGTATACTCAATATTCCACCCCCTGCCCCCTCCAAATCCTCCATTCCCAGCTACAGACGATTTTAGACAACAGTGCACTGCCCAGCTACTGTATCTCCTCATACCTTAATCATCAGAGGATGGGTGGGTGACTTAGGCCATGACTTACTCTTAGCTAAGTGCTGTTTTTGGTGTAACAAGCTGCCCCTGGGTTAGTATCTCCTTAGGAAAGCTTTTCCTTCATTGTGATTCTGGAAGGAGCTGAAAATGCTTCTTTGTCTTCTAGGGGTATGGGATTGGGATGGCTGGGAGGAAAGAAGGCTATTTGAGTGATTGAAACAGTGCCCAGGTCTGTGGAGGGGTCTATAGGGTGTAGAACAAACTAAGGGAAGGGGACGGGGAGGAAGCAGAGGGAAGCTGTAGGAGATCTGGAAATCTCTACCTGAAAAATAGCTCTTAACTTGAAAGAAAAAAATAGTCTGTGCTTTAAAAGAAAATTGTTGGTACCACACAGCCCAAAATATGCTTTGGATTGTGGGAGAGAATCTCTTTGTAAAACTTCAGACTAGATCTTTGATTTTTGCCAGTGTGGGTTAATCCCTCCATGACACAGATTGCAGCCCCTTAGCAGCTCAGTTGATCTTTTAGAGTTGCTGTGGCTGGAAAATTCCTGGTGATGCAGCTGGCTTGGTGATCAGCTTCTTGGAACTTAACTTGTCCACTGACAGTAGACGTAGTGTTCATCTCTGGACCTTTCCAATTTGGAGCCGTTCCAGCTCAGTGGAACCTGCCAGGTCTTGTATTTGAGAAATCGGGGTCACCTCATTGACATGAACAGGACTTTAGTGAAGGGAGGAAATCTTGCAGAGATTTTGGAACAAAATAGGTTGAACTGCTTTGGATTATTTCTGTTTTTACTTCATCGAATTTTAATAAAAATTTATCTTGCAAAATGCTTTATAATTTTCATTTTTCAGTGGCTTAAGGTTTTCTAAACCTTTTCTCCACAACAAGCCTGTGAAGTAGGTAGTACAAGTAGTCTCTCTGTTTTATAGCTGAGGACATGAAAGCCTGGTTTGTCAGAGCTCATGTTGGAATTTAGTGTGGTAAACAGTGGGCTCGGCTTGAACTCCGGTCCCATCTTCTTCGTGAAGCCTTGCCCAGGGTGCCTTCATTCCAGAGCCTTCCCTTACTTTGTTGTCTCCCGTTTATCCTGTAAGAGCTCGTTTGTACGTAGTTGTGTGCATTTTGTCTCCCTTGGGTTCACCTTGACAGCAGGCACTGTTTTCTGCCTTTCTTTTGTATACCCAGTGCTTAATAATGCTGGGCACATAATAGGTGTTTAATCAGTGCCTTTTGGCTGACTGATTCTAACTTGGAAGCTGATTGCCTACAACCTAGTAGCATGGGCTGTGAACCTGGGAGCCGAGAAGAGAAGAGGAGTCGGACTATTTGAGTTGCTGAAGGAAGGCACACAAACTCCTGCTGCTTCAGAAAGTCAGTCCTATGAGAAGGAAATTGCCCAGTACTCAGCTTAGCATGAGGAGCTGTGCAGATTGCGTCCTTGTTCCTTCATAAAATCCTAGCATCTCAAAGTGTGGGGAAGGACCTTGGATGTCGTCCGGTCCATGCTAGGCCTAAGCAGGGGTCGTTGACTAGTCCCACTTCCACTTTGAGACCTCCAGGGATGGGGAACGTTACCTTGCAAGTCAGTCCTTTTCCATTGACCAGTTTCCTTGCAGGAAGCTTGGAGTTGGGAGGGATTTGAGAGGCCAAACCTCGAGTGGTCACCCAGCCTGTGTTTGAAGACTCCAGTTCTGTCCCCACTCTCCTCACTGTGTACTCATTTCAGGAATTCACTGGGAGCTTCTTCCACTAACTGCTCTCTCAGGGACCCACATTTAAGGCCTGCCCTTAGACCCCTTTTCATGTGTTCTGATTTGTCATTGTCCTCCCCAAACTATGGTCTGAACACAGTTCAGTGCTACATTTAGAATAGAGGGCAGTGAGTGAAACTATAAACTCTCTCATTGCAGACTTCTGTTAGTGGCGTGCCCCCCCCCCCCCCCGGTACTGCATTAGCTCTTTTGACTGACATACCATAATGTTGACTCATACCAAGCATTTAAAAAGACCACTATAAATTTCAGATCTTTTTAACATGAACTCTCCCCTAATTTGTTCATTTGCTTTTTGGGA